CTGGTCCATCTCAAGGATAAAATCCCCAAACCCAAACTGAGCGCTGTGGTGTCTGCAGACCTCTATGTTGGAGAAACTAAACAACCTCTCCAAAGATGCTTAACACAGGAGAGCTAGATCTTCAGGACAAGACTCAGCAGTCCACCTACATCTCGTGGAGAAGGGACACTCTTTTGAGGACCAAGAAAAAGAAAGAGAAGACAAATGGTTTGATAGGGGGGTGAAGGAGGTCATTTATGTTAAATGAGAAAAAAACAACTTTAAACAGAGAAGAGCTCAGATTTCAACTTTCAATAAATTTACAATGCAGCTTTAGGCCTGATTCCAGGTCAGCTCTACTCCAATTCACAACTTCATGCAGGTGACCAAATGTGATCAAAACATCTTTTCTGTGAGCCAGGCAGAAAAAGAGTCCTAACGAACCTCAGTTGCGCGGGGCGAGTAGTTCCAGTCTAATCTGCATGTGTATCTACATGACGAGACCTCATGCAGATCTATGAAGCTTGGAACTCCACACAAACTTTTGAACCGATAAAGCCTCCCAGATGGGAAGCGAAACGTCTTTAGCTTAAAGAAAAGCAGTCCAGTTTATAGTTTTTACTTCTTTTGGATATTTACTGTAGAGTTCATGCTAGTGTGATGTGTGCAGGAGGGGCTGAGGTCTTCCTGAAATCTTCCTCCACCATCATCTCCACTGTCTTGAGGTCATTAAATCCACCAGGTGATCACTTAAAGTTGATTATTACCAAACACATACAATCATTTGTCAATATAAATTTATGTCATAATTCCCTAAATGTGGCTGAGCCTTATAAAGTACAAATTTAATCTACACCAGCCACTTCTATAAGAGCAATAAATACTGCAATGTATTAACAGACATGTTCTAAACAGCCCTCTTTTATTACTCTCCTTATTTTTGGCTAAAATCTGGGTCATATTCTTTGTGTTTCGTCCTGTGATGGAACACGACTGTTATGAAACTGAGCAGCACTCTGCCTTAAGGCATCCAGCCGTGTGAGCGACTGAACCGAACCATCAAACCACAGATTGAAAAGCGTGTTTATGGCCACCAACTCCAAAAAAGACTTCGGCTTAATAACTTTATGTGATAGAGAAATTTAATTGTGCTCATCTGAGGGTGAGACGTTAGTCTATCAGTTGCAACTATGTAACAATAATTATCTCGAAAACACCAAATCAGAAGTAATATTAAACTCTGTTCACCAGTGCAGACCGTGTTTTATGTTTATTTTATCTCCACACTTTGCTTTCTTCCTATAATCCTCATTACACACACAGTCAGTGGAAAACGTCCATCATATGCTGTTCTCCAGGCTGTCACCAGAGCCTGCAGAGGATTCCTGTTTGCATTTTAAAGTTGCTCTCACCTGCTCTGGACGTCTTCTTTGTGCGAGGTCCTGATAGGTTTTGATTTACTTACAAAGAATCACAGAGAATGAAAATACAAAGGATCTCTGAACGATAAAGCGGATGAAAGTAAATTGTTGGTCAATAATGAATGCCATCCTTTGAAATGCTAAAACGTGAACTAGAACATGATAGGCCCCGCTCAGTTCAATTATTCATGGTTTGTACATGCGTTACAATGGCTGAAAGGAACCGACTGAGCAACGCATGGATCAGCCCGTCTGATAAAGGTTGTGCTGCAGTGGATCAGCATTTCACTGCGACTTTGCTCAGAGATGTTCAAGTTTAGGTACTGCAATTGAAAAATAAAGTTTTCTTCACAAATAAACCCCAATAATGTCCTCCATGACTCTTTCTTTAGTGATCAAAGTTGTAAAATTGAGCATCAAGGAGCCTGACTGAAAAAAAAAAAAAAAAACAGCTTCACAGAGGAAGCATCTGTGTGTACCTGAAGGGGATTAACTTACTTGAAAGATGAGAGAGAAAAATAAGCTCAAAGTCAAGTTTTGGACTGAAACGTAGCTCATTATAAAGCTTTGCTAACACATAGCCTCACTTTCGAGAAAAGGTGAAATTCACAGCCGGTGCCTTTAGAGAATCAAAACTTGTGTGTAAAAACAGCTGATGGAGGCAAAGCAGGATAAAAGGAATGGTTCAGATGCTCTGATGTGGGGTTTTGTGGAAAGATGATGAAAATTTAACATACTTGTTGAAGATATCTCTTTAAATGACCTTAGTTTGGAGAAGGGTTTCATTCTGACCAGAATGATGAGCTAACGGCTAGTTCAGATGGGACCAAAATGGGTTTCTGAATATTAATACAACTTTAATCTAAAAAATAAAAAAAATACACAGCAGTTCCTTCAAACGGTATTTTCTAAACATTTACCTCACCATCCATTTAGCTGAACTTGGTTATTCTAGCAGAAATATTTGGAGATTGCTGCAGGAAGTGCTCCAGGCGTCACCAAAAGTCTTACAGCTAGATGTTGCTTTTTTTTTTTTTTTTTTTAATCTGTGTTTCTATGTAAAATAAATAAAAACAACTATAAAATACAAAATTGTCACTGTTTTAAAAGTTAATAAAAACAGCTTTTGTATGAGCTGCTAATAATTTTTTTTAGGACTGCAACAATCTATTTCAGTCTCGGTTATGCTTAGACTAGATGTTAGCATGTCAGTGCAGTCAGAATCAAGTCTTTTCCCCAAACTGAGATTTTCTAAAAATCTATTCATAACAGATAAGGAATTCATTGTTTATAACCATTTTTGCGAACCCCACTTTAAAAGATTTGCATTATCACTTTAATGCAGGGAAAGAGAGATAATAATATTAGACACTCCCTTTATTTGCTCAGTGATAAGACGCTTCCTTTGTTGTCTTTGATCAAATAATTAATTTAAACAAGTGTTTTTTGTATTCATGTGCAGGTGTGCTGTGTGTTTGTGTGTACTGTACTTATTTTAGCTTATATTCTTTCTATAAGCCTCACATTGTTCTTTCATCCCAGTAGATTATCTTTAAATGTGTTTGGCTTAAATGTCCTCATTTAATGTTATTAGTTTTCAGTGCAAACTCCAATTCAGCCTGGTGCTGTGTCATTTCCTTCTAAATAGCTTCTTTTTTCTTTTGCTTCATTTGAATATGTAAAGTGTGTGTGCAGTGGAATATGAAACACAGCTGTATTTGCAGCCCATGTGTTATCTGAGGTAAGAAGTGCTTACAGTAGAAATGACAGATGGTTGTGTCTCAGAGTAGTCTGCTTATTCTTTATGTGACCGATTGCTCTGCAAACAAACGCTCTGTTGTGAAGAAAAAAAACAACTTTTAAATTATTCACCAGCTCTAATTGGCTCCTTGAATGAGGACCGACCCTACGTTTTATCTGGGTTGTGTAGAGATGGTCTCTGCAGCGACATGCATTTTATGATCTCATTTGTGCAACTACAGTAGTGTGTCATCTTTGCTTAGATGAGTTAGCATTTCTGTTAGAGTCTGTTTACTTCTGTTGGTATAAAAAGTTTGTGGCATGACAAAAAGACACAGTGGAGCAGTGGAGTTTGCATGTTCTTAATGTATACGTTTTGTTTTTTTTCCGGGTACTCCGGTTCCCCCCCCCCACAGACCAACAAATGCACTTTAGGTTCATTGATAAAATTAATTTGTCTCTAGGTGTCAAAGAGAGAGTGATTGTTTGTCTCGTTTGTCTCTATGTGGACATGTAAAGGACTTGCAACCTGTCCAGGGTGTCCCCCGCCTCTAGCACAGTGACTGCTCTCCATAATACAGAAAGAAGTGAAGGAGAAAGTGGGTAAAAAAAAAAAGGAATGGATGGAAAAAGATCAGTACATCCCGTGGGACAGATAAGCAATGTAGCAATAAACAAAATTTAAAAGCTTGTTGTTGCTTAATTGCAGAATGAAATATTTTTTCCATCTAAACATTTTTTTTCCCAATGTTATGATTAAAAGAATATGATAATGACAAAGTCCATGCTCAATAATCCAGGTATACAATCCAACATTTTTCAGTCAGGTCATCTTGACAGTTTCTTTTTTTGTGTGCTGAAACGTTTCGCCTTCGATCCGGAAGGCTTCATCAGTCAAGGAAACACACAACAAAACTGATTCTTCCCCCAACAACTTACTCCAAAGTGTAACAAACCAGTTCTGCTTGTGATAAGATGGTCTCTTTGGTACGCCCCCTCCTCCATTGCCGGCCCTCTTCCTTGTTCTTGTCAAACTGGTTGACAACAACTGACTGATGAAGCCTTCCGGATCGAAGGCGAACGTTTCAGAAAAAAAAAAAGAAACTGTCCAGATGACCTGACTGAAAAATGTTGAATGTGATAACGAGTTTTTGTTATTAGTGCAGAAATAACTTTTGTTGTTGTTGCTTTGAACACTTAGTGAACTGACCTGGAAGCATCCAAGGAGAAGTCGTGATCAAAGCTGGTCCAAATTATTGAAAGGAAGAGAAAAGAGCTTCCTCTTTTCATTTTCTTTACTAGATAATACCCTGAACCACCATTTATGACAGGAACACCAAATATCTTGTCCCACAAATCCATGTGGCTGCAACGTTTAAGCTCTAATGATAATTTTAAAACTCCTCATTTTCATTAAGTCCAACTGTTTGATTGTAAAACACAACGACAGGAGAGCGAGCAGCCGTGCTTCATTTGACAACATAAAGAATGGTTGCTGTGTGACTTCTTTGCTCCTTTTTGTTGTTCTGAAATATCCTTTAGGCAACAAATTAATATTCTTACCAATAATGACAGTTATTGCCGACAGTGAAACATATTCTCAGTGTGTCTCCACCCTGTACACACACTCACCTCCACACTGTGTAAAATAAAAAAGAGGAGAGCAGTTACCTCATTGAAAATACGATTTGACAGAATTTATTGGTGTAAAAGAAAAGCCAAAGGCAATGTGACAATGATACCATTAGACCTAAAACAGAGGTGAACAGATGGGCGGCAGAGTAGGATCAAAAGATGGAAAAAAATTAAAAGTAATGATTTTGTTAATATTTCTTGACTCTCTTTGGTGTTTTCCTGCAGACTGATCGGGACTTTCTGTATGGTGCTTCAGAAGGTGGCTGAAGAGGGACACTTAGAGCTGACCGACACACTCATTGATGACAACAACACATCAATCAAGGTAAAATGGACTGTTCACAAAGATAGACAGGTTCAAATTCACATAGAGCTTATTATGTTAAAATTAAAACTGGGCAATAGCTCTTTATTTATTTTTATTTATTCATCCATTTAAAAGAAACAAAAAAAAATCATTGAAAAGAAAAGATTGAATGAGAAAGAAGAACATTCTAATAATATCTTCTCCTTTAAAAAAAATAAAAATAAAACAACTACAAACAAACAACAAACTGGGATTGAACAATCTCCAAAGTGAAATATTAGAAAATATTAGATATACTTCACATGGTATACTTTCCCAACAATTTTAACTTAATCATCTTTTTTAACATTTACATTGTTTTAGAATTTTTTATGGTGATATCAAGGCAATATTTTTTACCAAACTCTTCAAACTTTTTTCAGTCCAGAATGTGTTTAAAATTGTAAACATTTGCTGTGGATTTAGATGGGACTGCAGGTCAGGAAGTTGATAAAACAGACAAGTTTTCAAGCTAAACTTGCTAATGTTGACAGCCAAACTGTTAACTACATTCTGAGGCAATATTTTACTGAACAAATCAAACATATTTAACTTAGACTGGGAGACTTTTTCTTGCAGGTTGTTTGCAAAGGAGTTCATAGGCACATAAAATACTTATGCAACTTAAAACCTGGTAACTCTAAATTGTCCCTAGGTGTGAGTGAGAGAGTGAATGGTTGTTTGTCTCGTTTGTCTCTACTCTCTATGTGTCCCTGTGAAGGACTGGAGACCCGTCCAGGGTGTCCCCCGCCCCTCGCACAGTGATTGCTGGACATGGGCACCAGCGACCCCCGTGACCCAAAATGGAATAAACGGGTAAAGATGATGGATGGATGGATCTTCAGGGTACGGATCCCCAGCGATAAACGAGGGAGTACTGTACAAACAGAACTACACAAAAATAAACCAGAAATGCTCGTAAATTACATCAGAACTGTACCAACATGACACAAGAACTATACAGAAACTACTGAAAATAGTCTGGCATTCCAACTTTCTGTTATGCATAACTTGTCCGATGCTATGAGGCAACACCCACAAATAAATATGTAGTAAATTGATCCTACCACATAGCTACTGACATTTTATGGCTAACAAAACAATTACCCCCACAAAGATCATGTAAAACTTTGCTTATTTAAACACACTGGGCTCTCATCAGGAATGAGAGCAAAGCAGACTGAACGTATGCATGAATGGCAACACACACAATAAATTAAATGTGACTTTTATTAGTCATGCAGCAGGTGTTTGTGTATACAAACAAAATGAGAATAAACCCACTCAATGAAAGCCACCCCAGTCTGTTTGTTAGTAAAATATCTTGTGAGCCACTAGATGAATTTTAAGGAAACTCACTGAAAGTGATTATTGGAAGTACATCTACAAGTGATTAACTTTAGGAGACAGCACAATTAAAGATGGCTGCCACAACAAACTAAACTTAAAAACAAAAGTAGTTACAACTCAGCCAGTTCTTCAGGCTGGTTGTAGCTGAGTGTGACGCTTAATTTATGTTCTGAGCTCAACACATTGTGTAACATATTTGCTTAAAACTTCATTTGTTAAAATTAACACTTTCTTTTGGAAAAACATCTCATGTGCAAAAATTAGTGAAATTCTGAGAAAAACATTGCGTTATTTTGGAGTTATTCAATTCAAGATGGCTACTTCAGCTAAATGACCTTACCTAAGACAAAAATGGTTGTAACTGTTGATTTTACAGCTATTGTGCTAGTTTTGGTTGTAGTAAGAGTTGTTCACCACACAACATGTTGCATGAGATTACCCATCATGTCATAAAGTGAGGTTTGACCAAATGACCATCGCTTTATTTGTCTGCATAAAATTATATCAGTTCAAAACTCTGGAAATGCTAGACCTTAGATTTATTTTGTAGAAATTAACTGGTGTTTTTACATATTAACATTTTATCTTTTTATTTTTTGATTCTTGGTTTACTCATGGCCTTCAATTCATTCTTTGAAGGCCCCAGATGATTTACCACTGAATTTTAACCTTTTAACTTAAGTCACATCATTATTAGCCAATTTTCTCAGCAGTTGACCTGAAATATCAGCCAGTTTTACTCACGACCTCATGGGGAATCATTAATGAGAGAATATTAAAATGTTTTCTGTTTGCCAACAAGAAATTTACAGCCATTATCTGCTTATAAAGACCCCAGCGTTAAAGAGCTTCTCATCAACAAGAAGCTGATGGAATTACAGCTCTTTGGTAGCAACATCAGCAAATTCACACACTCAGCATTAACACTGATCCACATATTCTATTGATTTTAAATTGTGCTCCGAGCAGCTCAGTGGTTAGGAGGAGTGTGTCTGTGGTGAATATAAAATGTGTGGGAGAATGAGGATAGCATGAAGGGATGTGTTAAGAAAAACAGAACCATATAAAATGCAAAACTACCTCGGGGAGCGTGCAGAACTGTGTTGGTGGAGATGCTGATGTGCTGTTTCTGAGATGACGAGAATTCTCCGGAGTTAAAACACATCCACACAGAGCGTTCATGAGGACTTTAATTAACACACCTCAGATGACACATGCACACACACAATGTACATCTATGTAGCAGGAGAGCCGTAAACCAAAACTATATATTACCTGAGAGCAACACTGGATGTAGAACTTTGCACAAGTGTTGTTGCCATGGTAACACCTTCAACTCCTAGTGGACCACAGTCAGTGTCTGGTGAGGATGAGTTCCAGAGAATAAGAGCGCGAAGCAGAGACAGATGGAGGCGAGAAGGAGCGTCACGTATATTTTCTCCTCTTCCGTCTTTATCAGTGGAATAAATGGGACACTATAATAAAGATCAGGTCATTGTCAGGAGGACAGTGTTTGTCCAAACATGTCTCCAACGCAGACACTGAAGACAAACTACAGAGCCTGCCATGTCTCCGACCTGCATTAAATCGTCAATCTGAATCTCTCCAGCAAGGGATAAACAATGATTTATTGCTATGGTAAGTGTGTTGCAAATATTCATATATAGAATGCAATAAATAAAATCCTTTTAAAGCTTACAAGAATATTTATAAAATTGTATTTGAAGCAAAGCTTAGTCTTTTTTCCACATAAAACAAACCATAGATGAAAGAGCGAAGTGCCAGCAGAATATTAATAAAATAAAAAGCAAAATAACAAGTTTTAAAACAGTATTTCTGTCAGCATGCACCTCCATAAAGGCCAAATAAGAATAAATGTTGCAACTAAATACTTAACAAAATGGCTCGAGTTTATATTCACAGAGATTAAAACACATTGGTACTTGTAAATTAAAAATGATACAGCTTTATAAATCTGTTTGGAAACATTGGTTTCTAATCTTAAAGATAAACAGCAATATAAACAAGATAAACAGCAATATAAACAAAATAAACAGCAATATAAACAAAATAAACAGCAAAATAAACAAGATAACTATTAATATAAACAAGGTAAACAGCAATATAAACAAGACAAACAGCAATATAAACAAGATAAATAGCAATATAAACAAGATAAATAGCAATGTAAACAAGATTAATAGCAATATAAACAAGATTAATAGCAATAAATCTGAGAGATAATCCCTTCTAAATTTCTACAAGACTGTCAAGACTTGACACAGCTCAAAACAAACAAACAAACAAAACTGACAAAATTACACCCTTTTATCTATAATGTTAAAATAGTTTTAATTAAATTAAGGGGACCGTTTTTTTAACCTTTATTTGGTTTTAGGGCTAATGTCAAATGTAAGAAGACAACATATTTTAACCAACAAAGTCCATGCTCAAAAATCCAGGTATACAATCCAACAATTTTCAGTCAGGTCATCTGGA